TTGAGAATTTAAATTGACAAATGTTGACACACGCACACAGCTATTCATACACATAAACGCACACGCGTTAGCTAACGCTTCAGTGCCAGCGGATGCGTTGCTTAGCGCAAAGGTGTATCAATGTATATATACCGTACTGTACCGAGTACAGTAAATACAACGAATTGATACACATATACTCCATCTCTGGACATAACCATAACTCTGTTCGAAATAATGGATCATGTTGAAAGAATATTTCAAATCCAAAATACAGAGGTAAAGCCAAGTCAGATTTAGGAACCGCGCCGACAAATCGAAAGTATATGACGAAATGAACGAATCCATGAACGAAAAAACTGCCTAGGGTGAGGATTCCTAAGTTTACTATCGACATAATCATAACTCTGTTCGAAATAATGGATCATGTTGAAAGAATATTTCAAATCCAAAATCTAGGGCCAACGGTACAGACTCACTGAATTTTTGCTCATACATATTCATTTTCTATCTTTACGAACAGGAAAAAAATACATCACTTCAATTGGAGATTTAAAATATTTTAAGAAATCGCAACAAGTTTGAAAACTAATTTGGCTTGTGTTTGGCAGTAACTTTTTTTCACTTGAAATGTACAATATTGTGACGTGTTGTACTCAATGTAAGACGAATTTATTGAAAAAATTCTTTATGAAATGTGAAGAAAATTCACTTTATCATAAAAAAAACATTTTTGTTACACACATGTGTCAACGCAGTATTAAATGTAACTAATTTGTCGTTTTTCGTTAGAATGAAAATTTAAAATAAACTGTCTCGGATGAATGCAGTTCGTAAAATGCCACAGCGTTGTTTCGAAGAGTACTTGGTCGTCGGTCTTTGTTTCGTCGTCTCAAATATCCGCATGCAATAAAATGAATGCATTGGACGTAGATTGAAGAAGGACAAACGGTTACTGTGTATTTGAGGGCATTATGCTCTCTTCTTACACTATTCAAAAGGCAAATGTTGCAAGAGCATTTGTATTGGAGAGAAACATCTACGCTATGCTGCGTCGTCAAACAGAAAAATTAAAACAAAACGAAAATGATGATACATCATATTTCACACAACCACATTCAGGTGGACGATAGATTCGATAACAGTCTTCTTCTACCTTGCTTGCATTTATTTATTATTTATTTCATTCGGTATTAGTTAGGCTTAATACATGCTGCCATATTGACCAATTGTGTTACCATTGGAACTGTGCATTTGTATCGTCTTTACATTTATTGCATGATGTTATGGTGAGAATCGTTTGTGTCCGTAAACCAATTTTCTTTTTCTAATATAGAGAAGAGATAGAAAGAACCTAAATTCAGTATTTGCCCATGATTGTCACAGTATCGGCATACTTTGTATCGTGCTTCACTACTATTGTACCTATTTAACAATGCCTCTTTTTGGCAATATTAGCAATGAGACCAAACATGCTTATACATTTTTCTAACAAAACATCATATTTTATGACATGGTCGAGTCGGCTACTCTAAGGAAACGAAGAAGAAGAGCAATCTCGCATGGTTCTAGCATAAGGCGACCTACATTCAGAAGAATATTATTGGAAAAATGAAACTACTGGTTTTTTCTCAATATTTTAATTTTTATTTGTTATAATTTTTACAATATTTTTCTTTTCTCCTAAAATTTTAAGCGTCAAAATATAAACAGATAACCAAACTTACAGCAAAAGTGGACTTAAACTTGTATCCTTAATTATCGTTGAGCGGTATTGTTCGTCCGTCGCTGACCCTATGTAAGTTATCTTGGGAATCGTACAATGTTTTCTCTCTTTCTCTCTTTCTCTCTTCTTCTCTATTCTATACACAATAGTACATACGATACTAATTATGAAAAGCAAGCTACGGAACAGTAAAAAATGAATAAATAAATACAACTGAATTTCCATTCGGAACAAAATAATAAAGAAGAAAAACCTTTCTACAAATTAGCTAATTGTTTTTGTTTTAGTTTTAGTTTTTTTTTTCAAATCTAATCATTCGATTTGAATCGGTTTCTCGGTAATGTGGTATGTTGTACTTGGTAGTATTTTAAAATAATCTCGCAATTCATTAAATTGTCTTAGATGTGATTTCTGTTTTTCGAATGATCAAAAGAGAAACATAAATAAAATTGGTTCAGTTCCACTTCCGTTCGGAAATGGAATTCGCACTCGGAATTTTCTTTTCAGCGATGTGATTTTGAGAATATAATATGCAAAGTGAATAAAAATGGCAAAAAAGCATTCATTTAATGCCTGCGACTCTATGCGGATTCCGTTTGTCTGGCGGCGATCATTCGTGATTTCATTCGATTGGCCAAGTTTTTGAATTTTTTCACTTGATCATCACGATTTTGCACCGATTGTCGTCGCTTTTTGTTTGAGCTTCGTTTGTACAGATTATCGTCTTCGGATGCTTCTGTTGAAGCATAATCGTAGCCGAGATCGTCGTTGTAATTGTTGTTGGTCAATTGCGGGTATTGGGCATGATAATTGTGTGGCAAAATGATTGGACGTTGTGTAATTGCAACTGTGCTTGCGTATGGAGTTGAGGGGCCAATTGGTTGAGCATTGTCATCGTAACCTGTGTGTATGCGATAAAACACAAAGCCGTTAATTCCATTCAAAGTTTTAAATTTACAGTACCGATAGCTAAGAATGCGTTGCTCTTTTGAAATCAGAAAATTATATATGTACCGTACTACCCACCATTTGAATATTGCGAACTGTCACCTTGATCGTCATGTGGATTGTAAAACTGTTCTTCTAGCTTGTGATACACGAGCGGTGCTCGATATGAGGCAACATGAGTCTGTGGCAAATATTGCTGTGGCAACGGTTGGCCGTATTGTTCATCGGAATGTTGATGTTGGTGTGGTGCATGTTCGGTGGACGATTTGAAAATCACTTGCGTGTGTTTGTCATCGGGAAAATTCTCCGTGGTTAAAAGTTCATTATTCTCTGATACAGACTCATGGTGTGGATGACCATAAACGATTTCTTCATTCGTTCGCGTATCATGCTCGCTGTGATGCTGTTGCTCAGCATGAATATTGTGGTATTCGTATGCAGTTGGATGTACAATGCCTATTAACCAATGTATACATTATAAATATTAATATCTGTTTTATTGTAATTTCGGTTACACTTAAATGATTTTTCTTGTATGAAACAGAAAAAGAAACAATAGAAATCTGAAACATAATAACCTAAAACGAAAAAAAAACGTGTCAACCGATATTTTCATGGGCGCGAAAAAGGTTTATGAATTTTCATGCAAAACCGATTTCTCAATTTTTTTTTGACCCAAATATTGATTGTATATCGATTATTGGGTCTTTCATTAGTGTGCTTCGGTTTTTGTTCCAATTAAAACACATGTTTTTGATACGGTGTTTTTTTTATGTGAATTTAATTAATTGAAATCGAATAAAATCAATTTAGGCATACTTGAGTGTTGATCGGCGGATTCGTCTGAATGAGCAGAAGGTGTGTAATAGCTGGCCGGAGCTGGTGTGGCAGCAATATGTTCGGCACTCAGATCAATTGGCTGAGCAATGTGTGCGTTTGCATAAGGATTTGGGAGTGGCTGAGAGAAATACGGTTGAATCTGTTGCAGTGGTTGAATGAACATTTGAGCTGGCACGTACGCTTGCGTTTGACCATAAGGTAGCACGGGCAAAGCGCCGTAGGCATTTATATCCGGTTGTTCCTGTTCGTGAATTTGTTGCTGTGAAGCGTCAATGCCATGGGCTTCCTGCTCCTGTAATGTTTGAATATATTGTGCGGCACGAGCTTCCAAATATTGTTGCAACAGAACTTGCAAATGTGAAGCATATTTGGCCGGGCCTGGAATACGCAACACAATCACTGGAACAGCTTCACCTTCAGTGCTCTGAGTGTTATAATACTGAGCATGATCATCACTGCCATCACCGTGGTAAATGGTTTTGTAGCCATGTTCTGTTTGTTTGATTTCGTACGAGTGTGATGGCTGAATTTCAACCGATGTGTGCCCATTCGACCGGAGTTCATTTGTGACTTGTTTACGGAAATAGTTTGGATCGCTCTCAATGAGCGCCGTTGGATAGTTTCTCAAGTAGTGCAAATGATGTTGATTTTGTTGGTATTCCGATGATGGTGGAATATCGTGCTGCGAGTATGGATAAATCTCATATTTTGGCTTCGAAAATGAGTACATTGCTTGTTGATCGTTTCTATTCTGGTAACCATATCTGCAAGAAGATAAGGTGTTTCATTAAATTCCTTCCAATTTTCTTTTGATTTCGAATAAATTTCGAAGAAAAAGTTTAAAAAAAATTGCATCGTATTGAAATGGTCATTTTGCGCTATTTAATCGTGATTTGAACTCACCCCAAACTACCGTCAATGGTACGCTTAATATTTTTGTTATTCGATGTTGTGCGATTCTCTTTCTGAATCTTAATTTTAACATTTTCGCCATATTGTTTGAATTGTTTATCTATTTGTTTGAGGAATTCAAAATCCTCATTTGACAATGCTTTGAATGCTTCGAGCACACTTTTCGGTCCTTTTGTTGGTTTGATATGTGTCGCGGCTTTTTTCAGTTGATGTTGTATCCGTTGCGTTTTGCAATCAGCCACAGCCGCCCACACAAGCACCGCGACGATAACCTGAGAAATATGAAAAACAAAATTAGCCGACTGTTTTTAGCATTTACAAAAAAATAGAAAATAATAGAGGAAAGAAAATGGAGAGTCAAAAATGAAACAAACAACGGAATGTACCATGATGGTGAGAGGTGATTATAGCGCAAAGCGTTCAGCCTAAGCGAAACAAATAAAACGCGCACTGTACATCGCTCTCACCGAATTTATTAGCAACGCCAATGAAACAAGTAAAATATAATTAATGGTAAGAAAAGCGAAAAAAAAACAAACACATCTAGCGCAAAGTAAGCAAAAAAGCAAAAGTAAATTACTGTACATTTGTTGAAAATGCGATACTGTTAGTTTCACACGATGACAATGATCATTTCAACGCCATCAATCGTCTAAAAATATCTGCCGGTAGGCAAACATTTGGCTACGTGATGTCACAACCTGATGATTTTCCAGCGATGTCACATTTTAATGCTCTCATATCTTCTCAAAATTCGTGTTGTTTCATAATTGCAACGATTTGCTTATACACAAATTTGAATTGGCACCATCACATTCACAGCAAAGCTGAGAAATGAAATGAATCTGTGCAGTTGAAGCATTTCCATTTCAAAGGCGCCTTTTTGGATGACATTCGCAATCAAAATGCGAATAAACCTGATAAAATACGACAAAATTTGAGTTAAATAATGTCGCAGCGAGATTCAAAAACAACGAAGAAGAAAAGAAAAACGGAATCAAGTTAAAGCCATCAATGAGAGTGATACTTTCCATGTATGGTATGCAAATCAGGTAAATCGCAGGTAGCACAAAACAAGTACTCTGCGGCGGTAATGCAAAAGCCAAAGCCAAAGCCAAAGTGAAAGAAGGAATCGGCAACATTTACATCTTACTATCATTTAATAGATGGGCAGAATCTGCGATGTATACAGGCAATTTATTATGTATTTAGTTTATCGTTTGGGCTTTTCGTGCATAACTTGCACTGGTAATGATCGTTACCAATGGTGAATATCAATGTGCACTGTGTGCGATTGCATAAATTGCGTACGTCATGAGTGAGAGCGCGAGAGCGCACGTTTCTTCGCGATAGACACGGAGGAAAGCCCCAAATCGTCAAAACTGGTATTTTCTCAAACGTTGTTGCTGTTTTTTTTCTCTTTTCGTTTTATATCTACCGATTAAATGGCGAATATGATAGCAAGATATTGGATGTGTGTGTGTGTGCACCTGGATATATATTGCACTTTCTCAAATCATCATCAACAACAGCACAAAAACAGTGTGATTAAAATTGTGGTCTTTACCAAATGGGTAACTGGTATCTTGATCGGATGTATTTTGCAGTTTTTCTCTTCATCGCGCGTTAGCTCTTGCGCTTTCGCATTCAGCATTAATCACGCGTACCGCGTGCGCGCGCGTCACTTTTTCTCAGTTCCGATGATCGTTTGTGTGCCAATCATACCGGAAACAAGTCATAGCGCACTGCGATCATATCATAAACATTAAAATAATTAAATAATGCGCATTGGCTGCCATAATCAATCGGTGGTGTCTTTTGATTGGTAGTTTTCCAAGCGCATTTTGTAATCTTGCATGAATAATTAAGCATTACATCGATGAAGTATCGGGCGCATCTAGCGCGGAAGAATATCATATTTTGACACATCCAATTTTGCCGAGGTGTGTGTTCAATGAACTGCGCAACAGAATTCGTGACCACTATCCGTGGCCAGTTTATCCAATACACGGTAAAACATGTGTCGCTTTGCTTGAATTGATACAAAGGAAATTCTAAGACTAATTAACATTGTACTTCAAGCGCAGTTTTCGATTTGATAAGACCCATAGAAGGCGTTCGACTGATAAAACTGAGACAGCGTGTAATTTGTTGCATAAAATAGAATAACCAAGACATTCATGACCATTATGAAACACATGTTATGGAAAATGACGATTGAATTGTAAGCAAAAGTGAAAAATGACTCGATGATTTAGTACTCAATGGGGAAAAAAAAACAATGAGCGTGCGCACAGCGCACACACGAAGAGAGACAATGGGCCGTCAAGTGCGACTTTGATCGTTGAGAATTCGTGCGACAAACTTGTTCGTGTACGATCTTTTCTTCTTCTCTCGTCTTCAACCGTTTTTCATGGGCTCAGTTGCGTAAAATGTTTTACAGTCTAGTCGTAAACACGCGAGATGAAAGAAAAAGCCGCCGACAAAAAGAAAAGCGAGTGATCAAAGTCGAGCACAACGGAACATGCAATGAGGCACCGAAACACAAACCGTTTGAACTCTCACCACGCACACGCCGCTCAGTTCCGACTCCCTCTCTTTCTACGAAGCGCTGCTCTCAATTGACCGTCTGTCACTAATCTATTGTGACGTAAAATATCTTCATCTCTTCGCGAATGATGTAACAATCGCATTTCATTTTTCTTTTCGTCTTCCAGTTCAAATTGAATAACAGCGCGCGGAAAGCAACAAAAAGTAGCAACGACCAAAACTGCGATAGCGTGTCTCATCTCGTGATATATTTTGCGAATATTAAAGCAGACGATAAACGATTTGTTCAGATCAAGCCAATTATTTAATCGATTTTCTATTAGCTTCGATTTTCTGTGCGATGAATGAGAGATGGAGAGGAAAAAAATCGCCGCGATCAAACGGATACATGGTTTTGATATTTCGCTTATTTGTCCATATTAACTGGCTTTGAACACAAAGCGGTAGGCGATCGTTTCACTACCTAATATTGTTAATAGAGGCATTTTCGTTGTAGCTGTTTATTTAGCACTACATGGAATGTCGGCTACTGTAGTTGTTTCTTTTCCTAAGGAAATTTTAAGAGTCTTCAGGTCAATTTTTTTGGACCGTAAAATAATTCATTTTTATATCCATATTTTTTATTTCAAATGAAGCAATTACGATTAAAACTACATTCCATGTAGTGCTTACGATAATAATTTGATGAGAAACATCAAATTAATTAAACGCCTTAAATTTACAAGCTTCAAGAACGCAGAGCGGAGCGAAGCGACGATCTGCAGTCTTGTTTTCTCTCTCGTCTGGTAATATTTATCTCGTGAACTATGTTTGTTGAATATACTTTTCAGTGGTACATTGAATTATCGCACACATTTCTACACTTCCGCCACAATAATTCTTCGTATTGAACTGCCATGAATGTAATGCATGCAGAAAAACTAACAGTCACTTGATAAGTTGTCTTTTCTTTTAAAAGCAAACAACAAAAAGCATATCCTAGCACGCGAGTGGATTTTCAATTATCGAAAATTCTTTCTCGCTTCGCCATTGACTTTGCGTTGCTTGTATTTGCTCGATCCATCATAGGAGAATAGTCGAGGGAAAAGACTTTCGTTTCATTTACGGTAATCTTTTGCCGTGAACTCCTTTTCTCAGCACTTTTATCGCGATGGCAAATATCAAACATAATAACGGTTATAATATCAGTCTTTTTTTCGTTAACTCTCGAAATCTATGCAATTATCCAGTTAAATGAAGTCGAATAATGCCAGAAACGTTATTAGACCCCGAACACATTACAATGATTTGCTCGTTTGATAACCGAGATATCGATATAATTGTAGTTCGTACATGATCTACATGATACAAACATAACAAATGTGCAATGCACGCGCTCACATTGGAAACAAATGTGGAAATGAGAGGAGACAAACGGCATATCTTCTGCGGATAACGATCACTCTCTGGATTTATGGTGTGTTAAAGTGGAGCTAATCATCGTTTGGTAATGCAAATTGGAACACTTGAATGCAGAAAAGAAAGATGAAACGACGAAAAAACAACAACTACAACTAGCTGTGTGGATATCCTATCGATAAAAACGGTTGTTATTCGTTGTTGTCGGTGATTTTCTTATTAAGCTTTGAGATTGGCGAGTGGAGAAAGAGAAAGAGAGAAAGAAAACTGAGCGGCAAACTGGTATGAATGTAGTGCAATTGTTGTGCAGATTTTTATTTCCTGACCGCGAAAGCGATATACGGTCTGAGAAGTGAACATGTTACGCAATAAGGCATCAACACAAATCCCATAAAATAATCATTGCGCTAGACACTAATCTCCACTGAGTATATATAGGTGTAACTAAGTTGCAAATGAAAATGTATTTTTCAGTTGAATTGCGACAAGGAAGCACTTTTGCCACGACAAAACGTCCATGCATTTATATCCCACTACCATCTTTTTTGTCGGCCACTTTCAAGTAATTGAATTAGTGTAATTTTGCCGAAATGTTCAATGAACAAATGATGCTTTGCAGAATTGATGAAAATCGACCAGTGTTCGTAACCTAAATTGAAAAAGCGATAATTCGATCAAAAAATCCATTGACAAATTGAAATCGAACTGGTTTCGACACCGCACTGGTGACATAATAAGGCTAATATCATGATAAACTTCAATTTTAAATAATGCGTTTCGCAGATAATAATCAGCGTATTGGGTTAATGAAAGTAATAATTATGTAAATAACATGTCGAGATGAAATTTGTGCCATCGGAAATAGCAATACGAACCAAAACCTTCACACATACAATAGCCACTGTGGACGAATGCTTCACATTTAATGATCAATTCTGCACTTGGCGTTGTGCACCTCTTACTTTTCTATAGCCCAGATGATTAAGTTATCGCAAAATGGCGAAAAATCATCCAATGTGTCATTTTATTGCTGTAATTATGCACGTAAACGATGGCTTTATTGGCAGTTTTATGGATTTTTATTTTGATATATAGACAAAGATGTTGATATACGTAGGAAATATGAAATCGACCATGCATCACCGTTAGAAAACAAACCGATTTTCTATGAAAATTTTGCGCCAAATTAAAGATATATTGTGAAAAAATATTGGCATGTCATTGGAATTCAGCTCCGATATACAAATGTTTGCCTTTTGTCAGATGCTGAAGGTGAAATCATCACAATTAGAAAAGATTAATGATCAAATGATTGCAGCTACATGAATGATTGTTCAAACGCGTTTAGTTGACAAAATTTGTTACACTTTTTTGGTAAAAAAATATCCAACTGAGAAAATAAAGGGCAAAAAAGTTTCGATGGCTTTTCATTCATTTGACGCTACCGTTTTTTTGTTTTATGATGTCGAGGTGAAGTCATCGAAATTGCTTAACGGTTTTTGTGTTTTTCTGTTTTTCGTCTGGCTGATGTGTGTAACTGGAACTGCGCAAGTTCAATTGTTTTGAGTACGTGTACACATGAGTTCACATGGAAAAATGAGTTGAGATCAAACACATCGCGTGGACAAATGTTGACCAATTCCAAGAATTCGAATTGGGTTTGCACAATGTCACAACATCGCAAGCAAATCTTTCGACAAAATCTTTCATCTTCGACGAGAAGAAGAAAAAAAAAACCTCTAGAGTAAACTCAACGCTTGATTTGCTACGCAATTTCATCGATATGATGCGCTTTATTTTTCCCTTGCTGGATAAGATTCGCAAGTTTTGGACACGATGCGGTGAAGAAACCCAAATACACAGCGTTCAGGATTTTAATGTTGCAATCAACGATTTTCATTTTTGGCACATCCCATTTGAACTGTTTTTGTACTGAAATGTGTAGTGATGACAATTCCAATGTAAGTGGTGTGTATTGCACAATCATTTGTCTTGTTTGGTTTACAGTTTTTTCGTTGGTTCGCCTGATTAACTCGTAAAAAATACCTAATTAGCTAATTGGGCTCACATGATGTCGAGGGTAGGACAAGTACAAACCGTTCTTTCATTCACATTATTAATTCATTCCGATGAAGAGGAATTTATAAGGTCAATATGCTTGAATCGTGGGAAGGAAGTCGAACCAATGTCTGATCTGGTCGACATTATGATTTATTTTAGTTTTCTTTTTGTTCGAAACGCTAATTGGATTTTCCAAATATGGATTAGTAAAAAAACTCACCGCTAAATGAAGGTTCTTCATTTTTTCTATTGTTCTAACTAAACTAATTCGGCTGGCACTTTTCTGACGATCTGTTTCAATTCCACACAAGAAGGAGAATGAAAAAAAAACCTCAAATATCACCGGATTCACTTTCACACAAACCAACTGCAATGGGTAAAAAAAAAACTGTAATTGACTCGAAGTGTATTCCTTTTGACTATATTTCTAATTGTCCAAATCGTTTTGCACACCGTATATGCTTGCTGTTTCACTGTCTCGATCGGATGATTTTGATTAATTCAGCATTCGAAACGGTTCGCTTTTCGAATTTTCACCAACTTTCCGTTTTCTTCATGGAGCTCGAATACGCGATGGTTTTTGTGTTTCGTACTTATATTTTTTTCCAACGTTTGGCTTCTTCTTCGCATAGACACGGTCTAGGCTAACAACGACGACGACGATGTCACGGAACCAGTTGCTGTAGTAAGACTACTAATATAGGGGGTCATGAATTTTGCTTTTATATTAACTGGGAAGTGATGTTTGAAAAAAAAAAAAGTGAAAAAGAGTTTCGCACCGCCGGCGCACGGTCGGTCGCGCGCGCGTGTGTATGCTGCATGGTGAGAGAAAAAGTTACCAAAATGTTACATTGGCGCATTTGTAAGAAACACATACACACAGCAGGCAAATGAGGAAAAATGCATGTGAATTTGAGTTGAGCGCTGCGACTGTGAAGACATGCTGCCACGGTTATCACATGACTGCGTTAGCAATGAAATTGACATATGTTGGAATGCAGCGATAACGATTTAGTGCTCATCTGCTCAACACGATTACTATTCCAAAAAAACATGCACTGTTATACATGCGACCCGTGGTATGTATGCTTGATGGTCGCGAACTAAATGTTCCATTTGACTTGAAGCCATCAAGAATTGACGGCATTTACACGAACAAAACACTGTCATTGAGTTGATGTATCAATCACGTAGAAGCAGCTAATGGATTTATGTGACATTCCGAAACGTTGACATTTTTTTCGGCGTGAGACAAAGCGTGGCATTTTTTATTGAAATTTTTGATTGAATTGCTACTTTGGTGCAAAATATGGACGATCATGATCAAAGGAAGGTTCACTGTTCGTTCTACAATCCAGATTGAGAATGAACCACATTTGCCGGGAAATGAAACCGATTTTCCAGGGAAATGACCAATTTTGATTAAATACCCATTTCCACACCTTTCCGCGCACCTCTTGCTAATTGTACCAATTTCAGCAAGTCTTTCTTGAATACCTGATGACAGGCCATCATAATTAATATGTAATACAACTTTAGCTACTTTTTATTCAATATGCAATTTGTGTCGATCGCATTTTTCAACTACATCCACTTCGATGAGTTCGATATTGTTGCGTAATCGATATTCCTCGTATTATTTCCATTTTATTTTCAGCAGCTGCATCGCTGTGCCGTTGCATCGCAGTTGCATGCCAAGTTTCTTTCCAACAATTTTATGGCGTAACACGGTTCAATTGAAGTAACAAGAGCTAATTGTTTAATTATTTCATGAAAGAAGAGTAGCATAATTTATATTGAGGCAGTCGATCGTTGAATTAATATTTTCAGTTTCTCAGCTCGTTGTATCTGAAAATGCAATTTGTTCATTCGAAAAATCGCGTTCAAATGATTAAAATCGGATATCGTCAAGCAAAAATGCACGATTTCCAAAATGATTGTCGTGAAATTCGCATCAGTCGACAAATCTCAAGACGGACAGACACACGAAGGTCGTTGTACCCGCACATAAAATCAAATCATATCTAGGTTATCATCAACCAAGTCACACAATATGAACGGTTAAAGTCACAAACGAAAAATCGAACGTATACTCTCTTGAGATTTGACTTGCATTTTTGGTCATACTCAACTTAAATGCTTAAGGTCACTGGCTGGCCCGCAAATGAATGGTTCTCATTTTCATGGTTCCTTTTTGATGAGAAGTATTTCACAATTATGGATGGCTTATTGAATATTGAATAACTTTTTGCTCATTAGGTGGCTATCAATGGGGAACTGTATCGTAAATTGTTGCAGCGAAAAAAAAAGACAATTTACGAACGGAAATTAATCTATCTCAACAAAAGCCAATAAACATCATTCAACAGTGGTAATTCATTTCAATGCAATGCTCTGAATTAAATTCAGAAACATAATGCTCCATTTCTTGAGGAAACCCAAATAAAACACTTTGGTCGCGTTGAATGTTTGGTAACGAAGTACTCAATGAGTTGAAGTGAATAATTTGAATCACCGCGGGATGATCCTTTGGGTTTCTTCAAACAAATAAATAAACATCACAATGCATAACGATCCGTTGAGCCAACGGCGATGATTTCAGTAGCAGTGTTGTTGTTTCGATTGGAATTAATATGTGTTTCGTCAAAACATCAGGAGGAAGAAAACGAAATTGGATCGATTGTTTGGGATTAGATGTAGTCACATCAAATTATCTATGTATTTGAGGTAAATGAGAAATGTTTGAAACGGGCATTCATTAAATTTAATTGATTCATAATCGGGAGGGAGAGATAGAGAGAAAGAGAGAAAAATCGACCCAATAAACGAAAAAAAAATATGAATGAATGAATGAATGACATCACAATTGATTTCCATCAAGTTATACACTACGTTTTCAGGTTCACTTCTTCGATGAAGCCATTACGAACTGAGAATATTAACGGAATAAATTTACTTACGTCGATTCAGACCGATGATAAAAATGTGAAACTTGGCCAAACTAAATGGGTTATATGAGTTGAGGCTATGTTTACATGTTCATTATATGATCATAAAATTCATAACAATATATAAATATTATTAAATAATTCTTTTGTTCCAGAGTTGACCATGCCACCGACAATGTTGCCGTAAATATGCATAATAAGTTTTGTATTGTTTTTCGTAATATCGCATTTTAATTTGGATTAGAAACGAATCCATATGATGCAAATAAGGCATGTGTAGACGTACGATTGTGTGTCGAATGTTTATATGACAATTTAGATCGAAAATGTCTATTTTCATGCATCTTCCTTTACATGCATGTCGAAGGTCACCCGTAATACTCGATGTTTTTGGCGAGAATTCCGTTTTTGATTTGGAATTGGAATATCGTGCGTTGATCGCGAAAAATGACTCAATTAGAGAAACACACTGCGCACCAATTTTTTTCTGTGAAACAGCAGCCACTTTCTGCACAATGTTTCTTGAGATAATTTCACACGAAACACAACGCAAAAAGGCCTGATATGAAGCAAATTGAAAGCGAACTATAAAAAAAAACATAAAACCAAGAAAAAATGGAGTCTGAAATCGGAATTACATTCAAAAAATGAAAGAAAAACTTGTAGACAAATGGTGGAAAAAAGTGAACCATTTTATGCTTGCTAGACAATGGCCTTGAACATAGTACTGCAAGTACTGTTTTTTTTCTTCTTCTTCTTTTCTGTATCGTGCAATGAAGCGTCTGCGCTATTCATGGCACAGAAAAAAATACGGTCGAAATTGTATTATATATCTAAAAGTGATACAGTTTTTTTTTTCTCTTTGTTTACTCGATCATAATTGCTGAAGAAATAGGTATTCAACTAAACAAAACAACACGTAATTGTTCTCGAACTGATGGAAAACCAAACAATCGTTTCGCTTCTTTTACACATCAAGATGTTGTTCATCGCAAATGAATGAACATATCCATGATACGAAGTGTCAATCTGAATCGCATTTTGAACTTGAAATCGAGCTCATGCCATATTTGTGCAGATAAAATCACTCCATATGCGTATGGGAATTACTAAATTATGCAATTTCGGTTGATTATAATCATAGGCCCTTCTTCATATCAAGTATCAAATCACACACTTTGCATCATACCTTCGGCGGCCAGTGGCATTTTTACGGTATGAACAGACAACTTACGATCGTAATCATCACATAAAACTCAAAATCAACACTCATGGTATCGCCCACTAACAATTTCAATTGAACATCCAGAGCAATTCGAAGACTCATTTCGATGAAAAATATTTTTAAAACAAACGGATTTGTATTAATCATTTCAACGACTTAATCTATTTTTTTTATCTGTTTTCAAATCTCTTTTTCAATTTATTTTGATAAATTGATTGAATGTGTAGAGCTCAGTGCTATGAATCAATCTGCTAAATGCGGTCAACAAGATCTTCTCCATGATTGATTGCTAATGGTGGCCAACGCATTCATTGTTAAAACAAAACCAGACTATGAAGATATTTGACACAATCAACAGAAATCGAATCACTTATAAAATTACATTGAATTCATTCGAATCAATTCAATTTTCGCAAGATGAGTCTTATAAGCGAAGATTTTTCAGCGCTGTTTTCAGAGTGACCATAACGAAATGTTCACTTTCCATGCATAATTTATACACAAATTTGACTTGATATAACATGCTCTTCTAAAATTCAATTCGCACGATGAATCTCGGGCATTTCTTTCTCTTTCTCTCTTCGTTTTTTTTTTCACTTATGCGAGCGCTTGAATCTCATGGGTGCATAACGAATGCTCGATGACAATAATAGCCGACGTTGTATAAGTCATTGCATATTGAACTGGAATTCTCATCTCCGCGTACGTCTCACTTTCTGTCCAATTGTATTCACTTTTTCCATCGTTTTATTCACCATTTTTTAAATTAGCATTTATGACAACGGCTTTTCAATTTCTGTCAATTTTACATTTCAAGGAAATGATGTGATGCTCCAAACTGGAGAAAAAAACATAAATACATATATGTATTTCAAATCAATTTTTTTTAATGTAAAATCAAAAATTTCGAATATGCACCATTGTGCTGCTTGTGAAATTATGGCGGGTCCACGCGCGAGCGACGAACGGTTGTCGGATGGTTCGCCTTGTCTTCCTCTTGGTACCGTATATAGAGAGTACATTAGCATCTCAGTGGAGTGAAAATGAATCTTTCCAGTTCAATTCGCTCAAGTAAATATCTTAATCTATTTCGCTTTTACAGCACGTTGCCCGATCATTAACAGAAGCTCATTTGAATACGTACTTCGCGCTAAATTGGTATTTTATTAAAAAAAATAAAGAAAAAGAAATGTACGAGTTCTTTAGAGTATCGATGCACTGCATCTGTTTGCTCTCTCTCACGCTCGCCCTCGTTCGCCATTCGCTTCGATTTCAGTTCGATGTTCACAAAAAATGTTAAACACCATAAAATAACACCGATTGAATTGTCTGTAATTTCATTGTCCGATATGGAGCACGAGCTCGCTCGTTCACTCGCGCGCCCGTCGTATCGTGGCAAGCGCAAGCGCGAACGCGTGAAAGTGATTTTTATTTGCGATATTGAATTCGACAGTGAATAAGATATGGTGCAGTTGGATAGTTTTCCATGTAGCACCATGCATTCAGTGGTGTTGTTGCTGCTGTTGTTGTTTCATTTTATCGCAATCATCTTCATTTACGCTGCATTTGCGACGCTTTTTACTATCAACATCATCACACATCGGTTGTCATCGTTGAAGAAATTTTCATGTCACCATTAAAATTGCTTTGATTTGACCGCTGATGAGAAGACCACATTTGGCGCGGAAGTTTGATTACAAACTGCGAAAAACTCATTTCAATTTTTATTTTCTGTAAAAAATTCAAAACAGTTCCTGAAAAACAGATAGAAAACCAGATTTCGCCAATGCTTTTCCGGTGTGCTTTTCGCACTCGACACCAATGTTTCACTGCACGGACACAATAAAATGTCGCTTATATGTCTGACTACAACAGATACCTACCTGCTAGTTGTTTACAACTTCTCTCTTCTGTTTTTTTCCCATTTATTTTCTCTATTTCAAATGGAAAATTTCATAAAAATTTGCCATCATTTTATTTGTATGAATCATTACGGCGATCGATTCAGTGTTCAAAAACGTGTTTTGTATCGTCAATTTGGTTTTTGTGTTTTTTTTTTGTATTTTTATTTTCCATTATTATCAATAATAATAATAAATCTGCTTGAAATTATATTTCACCTAAGACTAGTGGCACTATACATGATACTTTCGGAATGGAATGGTTTTAAATTAAATGCGTTACAAACTAAATGCGTCATTAAGCCATTTTACCCTTTTTTATTGTGTCATTGAACCGTACGATATGCTGGATATGTGTATTTTGCGTTGAAATTCTCTAAAAACAGAACAAAAGTTGCCATTCAAAAGTGTTCACCATTACATCGCCCAAAATCGAATGAGTCGGCGTAAATAGCAAACAATGGGCAAACATTCTTCAAATATAAATACAATGACATCAAAGGTTTGTGTTTTATTACATGCATTGAATGCTTCCTTCGAAAATGCTATGAATCGTCTAGTTTCTCGGTTTAAGCTTTAGCGGGCGTTCCGTAACGAGTTTCGGTGATCGCTTTGAGTAGCCTTGTGCCGTTGAATAGGCGATGGTATTGTAACCGGGTTGATGTGAGCCATGTTGGAAGAATTGCGTTGGATGAGTCAATGTTGGCGATGCAAAATTACCGGAAACCGCGTGCAAAAGTTGTCGATTTATCAATGCCCGTTGCCGTTGCGCCCAGACCAGTGAACTTGGAATGTAGGAATCAAGCAAACTGGATGGGTGATGCTTTTGCAGCGAATGGTAAATGTCAACGGGCGATGGCAAATGTGATGATGATGAATAGTATTGATGCGGATTGGGCACTTGAGGTGGTGCAATAAATTCAGGCTGCAGATGAAGTGATTGAGGTGCGACTGGATGCAAGTGAAGCGGTTGAGGGGCCAATTGCAATTGTGGTATGGTTGCATATTGAAGTGTTGCCGATGGAATGGCTGTTGATTCTGGTGCTGGTAGTATGGCAGTTCCATCGATTGTTGGATTGACGAATGTGGCGGCTAAGGTCGGCTGAGCGTTGCCCAAATGGATCTCACTTTGTTGCTGTGGAGCGGTCAAATGTTGTGTGGGTGCCGTTTGATCAGCTGCATATTGAATTGATGCTGGTTGGGCATATTGAATCGATGGAATGGCATAAGCTTGCGTATGAGTCGGATTTCTGAATAGCATTACATAATTCGGAAGGGACCTGTCGAAACATACGAAAACAAAACATTTTTCATCTGGACAAACATTATAATTTCTCGCCAATATAAATTTTTTTTTTTCATCAGTTTCGCTAAAAATTGCGTTAAATTATTTTATGTGTGTATGTGATTTCAACACATGATCCAAAGCTCAAAAGAAATTACCATCATTTGATGCTGCTTATGGTCACTGAATATCATAAACAAACGAGTTATTTTTGTTTTCGGAAGAAAACAAAGCAAAAATGAAAGAAAACAAAAAACAATTCCAACCGAATAATGATCTGGGAAAGATGGAAGAAGAGATGTACGATGCAAAGTGCGTGTGTTAAACCGTTGATTTTTTTTTATTAAGCGCTTGTTTACGCACTATTGTATCGAAATCATTGCAAATAAAGGTGTATAATTTGCTGGAGATGATTTCAGAATCATGAGGGTGGTGGCCAAGCAAGTGTAATGAATATTTAATCTGTACAAAACCAAAAGTCGGTCGGATCCAAACTAACAAAAAAAAACACAGATCGAAACCAAAAACTTTGGTTTTTTTCCGTTGTGATTGCGCACCGAATGCACATTGAAAGGGAATCGTTTCGACTTCGCTGTTGTGAACTTTCTATGCAGGTGGTCAATAAACGTGTAAAGAAAAATTATGCGAAATGAAACATTTATAGCACGTAAGTGCACTGTACGTGTAAATCAATAGTGCAATAAAACTTTCGCGAGTTTTTGAAAACGCAAGCGAAGAAATGGAAGAAAAAAATCGTGTAAAGTTGAAAAAAAATGCCATAGAGCATGCTTTTACCACATTAATTTGTCACTGTTGTGAATCGTAACATGAGTTTTACCCACGATGATAATCGTTATATTGGGTGTTATATATATCTGCAATAAAATTTGCATAATTACTACCGCAATCAAAACAATACGATTAATAGCCGCGTTTTAATCCTCCAGAATAGAAAAAAAAATCGATTTGTTTCTATTGATTTAATAGATTTATTGTTTGGATTATGTGCGTGCCATTAGCAACGATTTGCATACTTATCGCTGCCGTCCGCGAAACAAATGTGTCTCAAGAGCTATATAATCCACGAATCAAGTTGCACGAATCAAGTTCATCCACACGCACATTTCGGAGGACGTTCACTCAAATGCGGTGACAAACAAATCCTTTCATTTCGGTTTCTTCGATTGTATTGTAAACAGATAAAATTATGACAAATGATGCGATTAGCATTGTGTATTTGAGCATTCATTGTTCGATTGAAAGAAATTGAAACCAGAAATAGACAGCTCAAAAGTTGATATTATTCGGAAGCGATGCTTTTTGTTTGTTTGTTTGTTTGTTCGTCATGTCAAACTGGTTTCGTTCGCGCCAAATTCCTCACCGCACGATGAAAGTAGCAAAGATGACGGCAAATCTCTTTTGATTTTTGCTTTCGTTCATCGCGTCTTCACCGTGCGCACAATATCGACATGAATGAAAATATTCAAATCGTCGAGGAAATTGTAGCTTCTCTCAAGAAGAAATTAGCGAAAACAAATACGCAATCTTTTACATAACACACAGTTCATACTGAGGTGAGAGAATTGGGGAGATGTTTTTTTTTTATTTCGAACAATTTAAAAAGAAAGTACCATTCGTTGATGCCAAATTGAATTTGAATACTAATTATTTGCCTTGATTGACGTACAAATATCGGATCTGTAAACAAAAGAGACGGGTCAGACTTACGGAGTTTGTGTCAAATATGGGAAATATTGAAGTGCGCGTGATGCATAGTTCTCTTGACGCGATGGTGCATGAACCGCTTGCTGTGAGCTCTCTGCAATTTGATTTTGTTCAATGGCCGGGTAGCTAATATCATCTTGTGCATTTTTCTGTTGTGTTTGCACCACATTTTCGGCGGAATGTTGCGGTTGGCCGTATGTAACGACACCACTTTGTGTGAGTTGCTGTGGACCAGCTTGAACATAAACGAATTTCGGTTGTTGCGATAGATATGGCGATTGCGATGCTGCTGGTTTGAAAACAATCGGGTTCACAAGCGATTCCCGAGCTGGTGACGAATATGTATGTGTCGCTTCATGGACTGGATGCACGAACGAGACTGTAGTTGGTTTTGCCTCGTAATCTTGTTGTTGCGGCGTCACATATTGAATCGACGTCTTTTGTTCTGGTTTGCCATATTGTTCAGCACTATCGGCGGCGGCTGAAGGTTGTGCATAAACAATATCCTCGCCCAGATCATTATCCGATTTCTCGGACGAAGCCTAAAACAAAAACAAATAAATCGATAAAAAAAGCATGTTTTTGATTCAAGGCAATGGTTCGGGTTCACCTCGTATTGAGGTCCTACACGAATTGGAGCACTCAAGCGTTGAGACTGTCCAATATTAAATATTGACTGTTCTCTATTTACCCGTCGTTCGCTTAACAAATTGTCTCGTTCGATATCTTCGAGTTTGATTTGTTTCTCGGCCATGGCAAACGTTACGAGCAACAGCACATATTTCAGCTGAATATTCATTATGTGTTATCTGCAACGAAACGAAATGGTTTAAATGTTTGACAGCCAGATGACGTTGTTTGACTCGGTTTTAAAACTAAAAAATATTAAAACATTTCAAAAATTAAACTCCTAAATGTATGTGATGTTAAAACATGTTTTTCTCCCATTCCAACATTCTCTTTTGCTTCTTCGCAACGTCTTGCGCGTTCAATGAATGGAATATGACACAATGTCTGCGAAACTCATTCGCTATTGTTGTCCATGCCTGTGATCAGCTTCTGATAAATCATAGGCAATACAAACAAGATCAGTTACAATACGCGTACGTTTTATAAAATAATCTCTGGAGTGTACTTCGTAGGCTAAGTGGTTGATCGAGTGAATCTAAACAGACAGCATTAAATATGAATTCAAGTGAGTTTTGAAACGTGCCTAAAAGCTTAAACAATTTGTTTCAATTTTTGATCATGATAAAAAGTAAAACATTTTATATTTTGTCTTTGCCAAATGCCATTTAGGCTTCCGGACAGGTTATTGCATTTCTTTTACCGCCTGAGGCGTAAATACTCAATGCTCATATGGCTCATTTTATTGCGCGTACTAATTGAAACACGAAGAGAGATTTTACAGCTCTGATTTTGATACAGTTTTTCTTTCTTTCATTGTGCAGCCATAAAAATTGATTAAACTGATCTACTTGCGCAATAGCAACATTGTGTTAATGTCCTTTTACTCTTTTTTTTATTTTCCATTTAAAATCATGTTACATTGCTTGTTTTATTGTTTTATGATAGCATTTTATTATGAATTGATGGTCAATTTTGAGGGAAATGTGGTTAACCGCCACTGACCAAAGGGATCTGCTTTCGTCGTATGGCATTGTCAATGAACGCACCGCCTTCTATTTATGGCAAACCAAATCAATAAAACGCTTTTTTTTAACGGGCAAATCAAATCACATGTGTGATAAAAAAAAATTGTTGCAAAAGCAACAGCAACGAGAAGAAAAGCAATAAGCAAACCGGACAAAAACAAACCAAAGTTATTTATGGTTGGTATTTAGTGAAAGTGGTTTAAAAGAAAAGATCAATCTGTATCTTATTCTGCGTGCGTCGTGTTGTGTGCTTTGGTTTTCAGTTGATGTTGCTTATGTTAGCTATGGAGCTACCTTTTACTGGTGCATGGTAACGATCGCGCGCACATGCCCAGACGTCGCTGAAATTCCATTAAACGCATAAATCGACGGTCATTGAGAGCAGAATAACATTTTCTTTTGAATGACGAGTTTTTTGCAATTTAAAATTGGTTTGCTGTATGCCCTAAAGAGCCGGAGTATTGAATTTTACACAAGTAGTCACATAAATTCCGAAACAGCTTCAATGCGCTGCTGATGCTGTTGCTGTGCTGCTGCAAAAAGCAAATCGTTCAATATTCACTGCAAGCAACGTGGTCGATATCATAAAGTATTCTGATAATCTTGTTACATGAACGGGCGAAAATTCCCTTGAATTGAAATAATGATTATTATGCATTTATGAACTTGTGCAAGGCAACCACAAGTTCAGACATCGAATGTGTAGCAAATTACAAAAGAAAGTCAAAAAAAACACAGACCAAAATTTCACGTGAACGGATTCCATTTCGATTGCGATTATAAATTTAAGATAAATTCCCCTTGAGCTGGGCGATGCTTGGCGAAAAAAATAAATAAAACTGGATTACATGAATTCATAACGAGGTTTCAATCACAGGGTCTTAAATTCGAAGTATATGCGGATTCAACAAGTGAAAATCGATCTACATCAGTCGAATTCGTTAGGTCCGTACGAAATGAATTTCATTGCCGGCATTTTTAATAGACCACATGACTTTCATTCGTGGGTATAACTGTCTTTCTGGAGAAATATGGCCCTATATAAACTCTCTCACTCTGTGCGTATGGATCACATCAGAAGATTTGAAGAAGAAAGAAAAAAACAAATGTACGACACATTACGTAAATTGAATCAGAGCAATTAATATACGCATAACTGAAAATAGCGCTCGTTTTACACGTACACACCGGCCAACGAACCAAGCGGAGAGAGACATGGTGCAACATGCAAACATCATGGGTACAAATGCAGAGCAATGAAACGAGATTAACCAGAAAATTGCACGGCGACAAACAATGAATGCGTTAGAAAGCGGTATCATTATACTGGATGGATAATTGTATTGTGCGTGGCATGGTTTGGAATGCAGATACCATTTTTATAGTGACAACCGAGCGAAAATGTCAATGTATTTCGGATAAATAACATGTTTATTTCATCAAAATACACATGACGATGTTGTTTTTTCTTTACGATCCACTTTGATGGCACCTCGCACGAGAATGGACAAAAAAATGTAGATTGGATGATTTTTGTCAAAACTGTCACAATGCGCATCGCGCACACAATTATTATGCATGCGTTGCTCGAGTATGTGCGGATCGTAAATTGAGTTATACAAAACGATCACCCCAAAACATTATGATCACTTTCTTTCCTTTCGATACGATTATCCCTCCATTTCACGTATATATCGAATTGGTTCCTTCCATGCTGTTTGAACAGATGTATTATTACCAGCTCATTCACGACAAAGAGTGATCGTTTCCGTTCCAACAGTAACAATTTCCGTAATTTTTGACCTGCAGTCATCGTTTGATCAATTTGACGTATTATATTCAAGTGGCCCACGGCAAATGCATCCCATTTCACTCAAAGATATATGTAAACATGATACATAGATGCCAACATAGATAATTTTGATTCATTTGGTGCGGCGATCAGTGACCACCGGTGACCGGTAGCCATTAGCTAATATAAAATGATGCGAAGACATCATGCTGCACATATTTTGACACATACTGAGTCATTGTTACGACTTTCATTCTCTCTTTCTCTTTGACATTTTTACCGCGAATTCTTGTGGCTTTTATGTAGTGTCGCGTGATCATGACAAATAATCGAAGCATTTCTCGAGTTACGTCGAATTTACATTTTGGAATCTAATTAGCATTTAAATGGTTTGTGATTGAAGCGAGAAATGAAATGGACAAGCGGCCGAAAATTAATTTCGGAATGAAAACAATGAAATGGCAAATCTATTTAAGTTTAAGATCCCGGTGTGTCAAAGTTTCGTTTGCCATCGAAAAATGTGCGAATATCTGGAAAGCATGGAAACAGCACGCTTTTAACTAATTAAAAATGAAATTGATTCCGGAATTTCTTTCTAAATGTTGTACAACATCAAATTCCTTTTATTTGATCAAAGATAACCGTTATATTTCAACGCAGAAGAAATGAATGCTGATTTAATCAGGTGCGAATTACGCATTATACTATAAACAGAAGAGACCTACGTTACTTTCGATTTTATTTTTCAATCCAACATTGAGTCTCGACAATTTTCTTTTGTTAATCTGCTTTTGTTTTGCTAAATCAATTCACAACGTGAATTCCATGTTCATAGCGTAATTTCAGTATCGAAAAAAACACGTTGAAGTAGATTTAAATCGAATCGAACAACAATTTGAGGTAACAAAAAAATCGTCCAATCTTTTGTACAGTAAAAAATCGTTCCGGTCTACGTATAAGCCATGTGAAGATGCAATCGAATAATGAATATTGATCATTTTGTCGAAGTATGTTTTTTGCATACGAATGATCGAAACATATTATTATCAATTGTATATTTTTAGATAAGGTGCACCATAACAAAAGCACGGTTTGCATCATCGATGATGTTGAATATTTCGGACAAAAACGATCTTATTTAATTCAATTTATCCAGTTTCGATTATGAAAAGCTAAATCGAGCTATCCTGGATCAACAATAATATTCAAACAGGTGACTGATGACATATGTGTTTGCTGATGGGAAATTTAATTTTCGAAATTCTTTTAAAATACTTTTGTCGTATGTATGTATGTCGTTCATGGCTTCTGGTTTCAAAATGATCTGTGATTTGACTTACAATTATGTTTGTCCTGCTAAAAAAATCCACAAATAAAATGTTTAATCCAAAATTTTCGGTCCAAAAGTCGGTGCACTTTATTCCCTCTGTTGTCTACGATACAAGTCCAATTTTTTCAAAAAATTCACCTCAAAAAAATCCTTTAGCCGGTTCGCAGCAGTGATTTTCACTATTGGAACCGTTATTGGGTTCGTGTTTGCAACAGCACTTCAGTGGAAATCTGAATGCGCTAAAGAACTAATGTGAACTGATTCGATTCAAAGGTGGGGCCATTGAATTTATACTCATTTTGGCCAGCCACCTTTGCCGTGCTGCTCTTTCCAATTTACTTTGCGATGGCACAGACACATGGCCACGTTCACTCGAATTGTCACAAGATCACACACAAACCAAAATGGAATACAAAACAGGCGATGACGACGACGATCGAGAAACAGAGTGCAAAGAAACAAAGACCGACCGACCGACGTGTGTCTCTGTGGAAATGTGCGAACGAAAAGGAAAGTTTTGAAACAGATCAAAATTTCGATGACGCTGTATCGTGTATAATTATAGTGCATAAACAATAAACGAGCAGAAGAAGAAGAAGAAGAAGAAGAAGAAGAAGAAGAAAAAACCAGAGCAGCAGCAGCAGCGACGAACAAATATAACGGTGAATGTTGTAGAGTAATATGCATCTTACTGTGTACATTTCAGCAATAATTACGTTGCGAGCGCGTGGATTTTTTCTCTGCATCCACACCGCAGTTGACATAAAATGATAAGCGATCGATAAAGGAAAAGCATGCGTTTCGCATAAAAAATTACGAGCTTCTTAAATTATAATAAAGAAACAAATGATTCAGGAAAACATGTTGATTCTACGCACTCGTAAACATGCTTTGATCGACCATTGAATGGGTCATTGAGATGAGTTTAAGCGCCAATTCTCGCCGGAAGCAATTTTTGCTTCAATATTGTACTCGTTAAAACGAAAGTGTACTTATGAAAGGCTTCAATAGGAGACATTTTTTTTAACGATTTTCAGAATTTTCACCATTGTTCGGAAAATGAACTACGATAATAAAGTTCAAAATTTGAAGAAAAAAAATACAAGAAAAAAGTGTCCAAATACAAACCACAAAAGTGCAATTCCAAATATAAAATTGGGATTTTTACGCAAGATAAATATTATATTTTGGTCGTTCCTTTCGATTTTTCTTGATAAACATCCATAAGCATGCAATGTACCAACTAATATGAACGCCAGAAAATTACACACCATAATGGATAATAGTCTTACGTTATTCCTTTCGTTGTTCGATGATAAGTGAGTCTCGTGAGTGTTCAAGAAGAAATTGCTCCAAATGTAACAACCGTATAGTTAATAACAGCATCTGTTTAACTTCTGGTTTCATTCATTCATACCCATTCATTTCACATTTCACTCGAACTGTTTGTTTTCGATGTCCAAAACGCCGTATTGATTACTCAATCTTTGATGGATAAACTACCGCCTATTTTTCACATTATGAATTTCGGCAATTACAACTGAAATCTACTGAACCCAATATTTGATAATGATCAAAAGTCTATAATATATTGGAGTGGTTGCCTTTCGTTTGGCTGAGGAACGGAAATGCCACGCAATTCATCACATTAAATATTATATGAAAATTATGATCTCGGCAATTCGTCTTGTTGTTGCCTCTGATTGTTTAACGGTAATTGTTTCATCGGTGTACGCTTGCAGGAATCGATCAGTTGTCGTATTAAACTTTGCCGTTGTTTTTTTCTTCGTATTTCACATTGTGTGTTTTAGAGATTTATATATTTAGCTTTCGATCAATCACTTAATCGCTTTTTATCGATTGTTTGCTTGATTGATCGTGAAATTGAACACTCTCTAATTTTCCCATCTTTTTCATTGCGCTGTATCGTTAGAAGTAGATTAATATTCTAATCGTTTCTCCCTGAAAAAAAAATATAACTAATTCGAAAGTACTTTTTATTTGCTTTTGACACATCTGTAGGCGCCTTTGACCTGAAGAAAAGAAGAAAAAAAAACGTGTGAGTTAAATCGTTTTCCGAACTAATTTTCTCGCTGATTGACTTTCTTGGCTGTTAAAATAAACTGCTTTGTTTTTAGAACGGTTTGTTTGTTATGTCGTCTGTTTATTGCTTCATTTAACCATCAATGTCATGACAACTTCCCATGATTCGAATTTTAAAATCCGGCCTATAATGGCGGCTTAATGGTTAAATGAATTCGCAGATTATTCAATTTATTACACATCTTTCTCCATTTCATTTGAATTTGTCTTTCGTCTGCTTCCGAGCTGTTCGTGTTTTTTTTCGGCTGGTCATTAGAAACGGCAGACTAAACTAATGGCAGATATTTGATGTGTTGATTTGCTAGACAGCATAATGAAAGCATTTACAGGCCATCGAAGGCCGTGCATTCTATTGCAAGTGATTGTCGATCAGGAAAGTGAGAAAAGTGAGTTGAAACTTTTGCATGATAGTCTCATTAGTGGAGACTCTGAACCCTGTTAACATTTCTCGCACACCAAAAACCAATCGAATCGTATTATATTCAAGTCAGTTGCAGATTTATCATTTTTTTCTCTATCTCGTTCCAGTTGCGGTGTAGCGTAAAACACAAAGTGATTGTAAACTGAACGATTTCCATGGAAATACTCTGTTGCCGTGTGTAATTTGCAATGAAATGAACTTTTTAAACCTTTTTTTCACTAATCACTCATAAAATTACCGGCATTTCAATAATTTGACACATGAAAAAGCGAAAACAATACACCACGAAAACCGCACACAAAAAAGAGTTATATATATGTATATGTTTTATGCATATATGTGTATTGCATGATTCAATCGTTCTTCTGATCCAAAAGAAAACAAAAAAAAACGAGCCAAATGATTGTAACTAACACCGGCCCAGAAACGCACCGCAAAGGAATATTGAATAGCCTTTAATTCCAAGGAATATTAAATCGCATTTCATTGGCGCGAACGTCGGAATGGTAAAAGGCAATTGCAATACGTAATAGGTAAAAATGAGTTTTTCTTAAAAGAAGTAACACCATTCACGCTCAACCGTAAATTTTCATATTTTTAACCGACATTCAGTGGCTTAGATGCAGCTCAAGACATCGGAAACTAGCCTACTGTTGTTGTTGCCGTCATTTTTTCTCTCTTAGGTTTTAATGTGAAAATGGCGCAACGCATCGCATCACACTCAATGCGAACAGTGGTTGATTGTAATAGAGCAGGAAACCATGTTATCAAAACGTGACTCTTCTAACAAGACGCAATTAAGTGATTGACGTTGGGTCATAGCCTCAATACGCGCTCACACTCCGTATCCACCTAATGAATGGAATGCAAAGCAAAGAGTACGAACGATATTCCAATCAAACACAAAAGAAAAAAAAATAATTACGTCTTTATCACAGAGTGAATGTTTTCACCACTTTCGGATCATATTAAATGGTTCATAAGACATATACGATTACTTTGAATTAAACACGCAGCTGGGTGTCTTTCACCACATTCGAACGTATAATTCGTGGCAATTGTAGTTGAGATAACGAAAAATAATTAAATTATTGAATTATTCCGCGGCAAAGCACACGTATATATCATCAATATGATTCAGCTTTCATGTGATTATTTAAGGTGATTCAAGCCTTATCATTGTTTTCCAATCATCCGCGTTAATTAATACTTGCTGAGCACAAGCACAGTGGTCAATATTGTGCAATATGATGTACCCTTCAGTTTTTTAATTCAGAACATCGAATATTTTTACAATAAATTGATAATCAGCCGTTTGCCAATTCATTAAGTAAACTCAAGCTCAAGTGATCCGGATTGCAACATATCCAAAATGTTAAAGGAATTTCCATAAAACATTCACCATACAATTACTTAATGGCAAAAATAATGAGTATTACGTCAAGAGAAAATATATCTCACAATTGCGCCCTTTCAATTTTTTTAAGATCAAGTTATCCTTCCTCAATACACACACACACACACACACTCGTCAACAGAGTGTTTGCTTCAGTTTTAATTATTTTTTACTAGGCGCTTTATATCATAAACATTAAAGAATTAAATTAATTATTATTTGTTCGATTATTATTATGGTTGCGATAATGGCTGATAAACCGTTTTCAAATGAACAGCCATGCGAAGCGCGCATAAACATAAAATGCAACACACATCATTTGTATTCCGTTCGCCTCGACTCCGTTCAATCCATTGCATACTCGTCTTTCACTCGATCCATTGATCGAAATCAATACACACCGTTTGTGTTGTTGTTGTTTTCTTCTTCTTCTTCTTCATCTTTCGAAAAGTATAGTTTTCAATGCAATGAACAATGCTGCATATATACAAACAAACAAACAAAACGCAAATGGTAGCAAAGCGATGGCATAACCTGTATCTCGATAAGCTGACAGTAAAGAGGCGCAAACGACTACTAGCTGAAGGGCGATAAAAAGTCTACGAAGCCAAAGCAAGAGCTAAAGTGAAACTAGTTTGAAAGTATCTGCAACATTTGGACACTGTCCAGTGTCCACACAACGGTGCATGACTTGCATTCGATTGAACGCATAACAGGATGCTACCGTCTCTGTCTTGTCTGACTCATCGAAGTTTTATCCATTGAATTTCAATCGCAAACATCGATTGGCAGGATGTCGATCAGCAGCAGCAGCAGCAGTTGACCATTACATTTTATCGTTTTGTTTTTCAAATTGTTCCAATTAAGATTGAACAACGAACAAACCTCTCACCAAAAATCGCAAAAAATGAAAAAAAAATGTTTCGTTTTTTTCCCTAGACAGATAGTGGTTCAATACGTATTTAAAATGTTATCACATCTTGTATCTTGACTCCTTATAGAGAAAATTCGCAAAATCACTGATAAATGTTAATGAAGTTATGCTGTAAAATGCATACCAAAGAGTTCAACACATTTGAAGTCAATTTTATTTTGTTTCGATCTTTTACGATTCATCAATTTTAAGCGAGAAAAAAAATTCTAAATGGCTTGGACTCAGATACGAAAGCTATTTTCATTTTCTATCAATTTCATCGGACGCCGGTCGAAAGTGTGCATTATAGACACTAATCATTGCATAAGCATTATTTCATCGCTATTTTAAAATAAAGCAATTTTGTGTGTGTTTCGATGGACATTTTCAATAAATTGGATTGGCTTCGTCGGCGTCGTCGCACCATGCGATTGAATTGATAACAATGAATTTTATATAATAGAAATTGAGATGGCAAACTTGCGATAAGAGTGAGTAGACATGCTAACAAATTTATTTATGGACATGAAAACACAATTCCAGACTGTCTTTTCTCTCTTTTGGCTTGTTTCAAGTTTAAATTTTATAAGCAATCTCTTCAAAAAAAAAAAAAAATATTTGAATAGACAATTGCAATGAACTGTTCAATTCGAACGACTTATTCCATTCATGTTGTTTCCGCTGCGTAGAGTCAATCAAATCTCAAGCGAACGAATAGAAACTGCGCGATCGCTCTCGTTGTTATAATGGAATTTCACTTTGTAAAAAATGGTCGCATTGAATTCAGAAAAGGAAGCATTTGGTTATGTTTACTTTGAAAAATTGGCGTCTGTTTATCAACCACCGCGGTCACATACATTTCACAAGTCTAAAGAGAGTACGGGCAAGATCGATCACTTTGTGTTGTTCACATGTTGTCATTTCACGTTTACCTATGAATTAACGTTGTTAATGCCATTTACAGTGGCCGTTGCTGTGTCTCCGTGTGCTTTTATTTAAAGACATAATAATGTCATGCACTCTCAAACACTTTCAATCACCTCAATTGAACACACTCTGAATTGTTGGCGATTTTCTTGGCTGGAGGCTTCATTGATAGTAATAATTACGATCTAGTTGGGAACATTTTTAGCACGGTGTCGACGGTGCACACCATGTCACTTGACAAAATAACAATCAGCCCATAAACACCGGAATGACGGCAACAAGTGGTTTCGGTGATAATTTCGAGCATCATTGACGTAATTACACAATTGAATTTACTTGTGAGCTGTATAAACTCCATCCAACTTTGAATCGATTCATTTTCTTCTTTGCCAACGCAAAATTGATTTCTTTCTATTCAAATTGTTGGATTTTCCATTGCATTTGCATCGATGCTTTTTTCTATCGGAAAGTAGGAACACCGTTGATGAATGCATGGAATCTTCGCATTGATTTAGAAAAAAATGCATCGAATGCGAGTGATTCATTGTATTACGTTCTCAGAAATGTGCAGAATTTGTTAACATTAACGAGGCACGTTCGAAGTCTGATGGTTTTCTGTCATGAAAGACTGTATAGCGCACCAAAACACCAACCGAGACATATATACAAACTAATGGATTTTTTGCGATGGTAAATAATAAATAATTTTTCGTTCGCATCAAATCAAACCCACCAGTCACATTTACCATATATGAACATTCGCAAACTGGCATTAGTCTCATTGAGTTCGGTTTTTGTTGTTGTGCGTGTGTTTTTTCATCCATTGCAAACTCGTTCATATAGTCTGAATGGAAATATGCGTCGGATTTGATTACACGATCCACACTGTACATTAATCCGACAAATGTGTTGCTGCTCTGTCGTTCCATTAAATTCGAACATGCACTGTGTTTCCTGTGCACGCGCACCTCTGCAGCAGCAATTTTATCTATGGTTTGAGAAAAAAAACCGAATTGAAGAACGTGAAAAAAGTTATTTCATAACAATCGTCAGCCGTTGATTTGATGTGCTTAACGTCAATGCGTCGATCTCAAGTGACTGAACTAATTCACTTCAAGTGTTGGCTGTTATGTAACGTAGGAATCGTTCAAACAATTTTGGAGCAGTACAATCACGGCAATTCAGATTCAGTTGATTGTTGTTGGCATATTGAAAGCCAAGAAAACGCGCAGGAAATGTTCGGATTATCAAACAAGCCGATGGAAATTCTTGTAGAATTGAACTGAATTCAAAGCACTTACGCATTTTCGCAATTCAACCGTCTCACATGGCTTATTCGCCTAATGTTTGTCATTGTTGTAGTTTTGTTCCATGAGATATTTGGTTTGAATTTGAAACCTACTCACAGCCACACTGAACAAGTCGAGAAAGTATCACTTGAACAAAGCACACACATGTGACTGCTTCGATTTGATGAAGTCGGAATATGACGATGAAAGAAACAAAGCGGCATTTTAATTAGAGGATATGAATTTCAATTTGCAAGCGTGATACCCAAACGTGGTAAATTCAAAGACATTGGATTACTGAGATTGGGCAATTAAATTTTGAATGCCATTAAAATTGGAGGTTTCTCAATTGACGAGCAATGCCACACATTAATCAAATTAATAATTTTAGTTTATCGCTGTTCATCACAACGATCAACTGCAGACGATTCTGCATTCGAATCAGCGCATGGGCAACGATTTATTTGAATGACTATTGGGAAATGTGAGTCATCTTCTTCATGTGAGCCATCCAGTTAAGTGTTTGCCACCAATAGTGCGATCGATGATCGATATATGTGTTTGACAAATATTGAAAAATTAATTTAGATTCAATTTTTGCATGGTCATCATCTTTGGTAGATTCCCTTCTTCAATTGTGATTGTGAAAGAGTCGATTGAACTAACTGAACGAGTATCTAGTTAGAAAGGAAAATTGAATATAAAAAACTTCACTATTGAATTGTCATTCATTTTTGAACCTGCAACCGATCGAAGATGATTGAACTTCTTGCATGCATTTCACAAGCGATTCGTATGTACGATAAATCCCATTTCATTTTCTCCATTGATTAAATGTGTGCTACAAAAATAGAAAAATTTCCGTCGGTGTGACAATTTGTTATGCCTAGATGAATTACGACATACGTCAAAAACCACCGAAATAGAAATAAGAAAACAAGGCGAAACGCGCCGCAGCACAATAATTGTGTGTGTGTGTGTGTGTGTGTGTGTGTGTGTCGTTATTGCGATATATGTTGTTTGAGCGATTTTCATGTTTGAGCATTAACAATGGAAGTCTTACCTCGATGCTTTTTCCAAATGACAAATATGTGAAATCAAAACGTTTTCCATACATATGCATCGTAATCGCTTCAAAGTACTCGACGGAATAGCATCAGTACGTTTGTCATTGAATTTTTCCATTTAGTTGTAAAATGAGATTCGTTTGGTAAAAATGAAATTCAATCAAATATTGTGTGCACTATTCCTGCTGATAGTGTTTTATCTAACGCTTTTCGTGAGCGCTTCGACCATTCAAAGGAGCCTATCGGACGATATCCGCAATGGAATCAGCATAGCGGGCAAAATTCTTGGTAAAAAAAATGAAAAAAAAATAAGTATAATTTTGAATGAAAAAAAAAGAAAGTTGAACAAAAACTCATTTTTGAGAGAATCGTTTTTTTTTTCTAGCAAAGTTTTCCATGAAAAAGTATAAAATTTATGTGAATAATTTTGGTTACCGTTTAATTTGATTTGAAAAGGTGTCGATTCACCGTCGAACATTGCCATCATATCGAACATCGCTGAACTAGTAACACGTTCATTTTCTAAGAACACAAATGCAAACCAACCAGGCAGTGGATGGGATAGAAGACAAATGACGGAGCGGTATCCAACCGAACACTTGGAAGATTTTGGTGAAACACCACAGGGCACTCATCAGGTGAATTCTAATGAACAGGACACTATTGACGACAATGTGATCATTGGGAATAATATCAACACAAGACCAACCACAACGACCGACGTTGATCACGGATTTTTGGGTCAAGTCCTTCGTGTGATGGGTATGGATACAGGCAAAATCGGAGCAATGGCTGTAAATGGTCTTATTTTTATTGCACAAATGGTTTGTTTTATGATTTATTTGCTTTTTTTTGTTTTCAATTTTCTTTTTATCATATTTAAATCGTTTCATTTTTGAATTTTTTTTTCTAAATTTTCTTATCTTCAAACGTTTCGTTGTATTTCCCTTGATATTTTTTATTCGTTCTAATTTTTTTTATACAAATCGAAAAAAAACGAATTAAATTTTCCCATTTTTTTTCCTTCAAATTCCTCATGGGGAAATCTGCAGATTGGTCGCTCGTTAATGTCAGCTTTCACAACTGTGACGAATAAAATGGGAGCGAAGCCAAACGAGAACATTGCAATGGTCGATCGAACTCGACGATTCGAGAACGATAATACTGACGAAGAAGCAAACTCCATTTGGGATAATGCAATTGGTTGGATAATTGAGCAAAGTAAATCGAGTTCATTTTTGTCGCAAAAAATCGATGCAATGTTGGACAGAGATTTATCAGAGCGTCTTATAGATATGGTTGACAATGGGAATGATGATGAAACTGCACCGAATGAGAACATCAATTGTGTTAAGCAGTTGCTGTGCAAAACTGCGCCTTTTATCTGGGGCATGCAGAAAGCAGTTTCAGCTCAAATGAATACATCTGATAGCGAAGCAAGTGCAACGGATGAAACATCGAACGACAATGCGAAGAATGCTTCAACTGACAATGATTATCGAATGAATGTATTTTTCAAATATATGCCGTCGGTTGATGAATTCAAAAACCATGGAATTACATGTGAAGATCAATATAAACAGTGTAAACTATTTTAAATTTTCAAATTTTTTTTTTCTCTTTTTTTTAAGTTAAGAATCGTTCGTTAAAAAAAAACAATTCAATTGTTCTGTTTATGAATTCAAAATAAAATCTACATTGAAAATAAAATTCAAACGTTTTCGTTTCCTTCACAATCGCAATGAAGCAGGGTTCGATAGTTCAGTGTACTTGAGTCATGTCAATTGTATACCCGCAAGGTGATTCGGTTCACAGTTGTTGCTGTCATTAACTGTCAATGTCAAAGTGAAGTCTTCATCTGCAGACGATGACCGAATGAGACAGAAAAAACAATTTTAACACACATCAAAATCATGTTACACTCATTCAAGAAAATGCAAAGTTTTTAAGTAAAACCAGTCATAATTATTAGTGATTAAGACACGACTTAGTTTTGCTTGAATATTTTGGATTTTGGTGTTATTTTTAAATTTTTTACATAAGTTTTATTTGAAAACGAAAACTGATTGGTGTGAGGTGTGTGAGATAAAGGTTGTGAGGTAGAAGTTCCAAGTTATGTCTAACTACGGTCGTTTTGGCGCTCTTCTGGGTACAATTTACATTGGTCACACTCATTGCAAATTTTTGGTTGGTAAAATCTTTTTTTTTCCTTGGAAAATCCCCACTAAAATTGATTTTATTGGTTCATTTAATACAGGTATATGCAGCTCGAAATGCCGAAGTGTTGACATGCCATGAAGTCCAACTGAAGGAGATAAACACTCAACAAGGCTGGGTCGAAATTGATCCGCTGGAGATATGGCAGAATGTGCTCGAATGCATTCAAGTGGCGGTGCAAAATTTAAAAATCCTAGACATTAATCCGGATGATATTTGTGCTTTAGCACTGACTAATCGACGTGATACAACCGTACTGTGGCACAAAGTAACCGGACGGCCACTCTATAATGCCATAGGTATTTCGAAAACCAGTGTCCATTTTCGGAATGCGAATGCAAGACGAAACTAATCCGTTTTGAATTTGTTACAGCTTGGAATGACTGCCGTACAACAGCAATTATCGAGCGAATTCTCACCAAAAATCATAACAAAGTCAATTTATTGAAATCAATCTGTGGTTTGCCATTCAGTAATTGTTTTAGTAGCCTAAAATGTCGGTGGCTGATAGAAAATGAGGCATCAATTAAAGAAGCCGTGCAGAGAGATGAGTGCTATTTCGGTACATTGGACACGTACATCCTGTGGAATTTGACGGGAGGCTTAGAAGATGGTGTCCATTGTACCGATGTGACAAATGCGTCACGAACAATGCTTATGAACCTGAAAACGCTCGACTGGGATGTGAAACTTTGTCAGTTTTTCCAAATACCTATGTCAATATTGCCGCGAATCAGAAGCAGTGCGGAGATTTTCGGTTATGTATACGATGGACCGTTGAAAGGAATTCCCATTGCGGCAGTGAGTATATTTAAAAGTGTTTTTTTCTTTTTTTGTTCAAGCCAATTTATACATTTTTGTTCCTCTTTCAGTGTTTGAGTGAACAAAGCGGTGCTTTGCTTGGGCAAATGTGCATACGACCACAGCAGGCTACGTGTTATTATGATGATGGATGTAATTTACTTGTCAATACTGGCCAAGAAATCATCGATTCTGACAATGGACTGCTCACGACAGTTGCTTATCAGCTTGGCTCAAAGAAAAAGCCATTTTATGCGCTGGAAGGTTCTGTTGCGCATGCCGGGTCGGCAGTTGCTTGGTTGAAAGATAACCTCTCTTTGAAAGATGAGGTGGCTCCGAATTCAAATCAAACAGTGGCCAATGGAGCTACACTTGTACAAACTTATCTAGGAGAATCATCGGTGCTCTCGACATATAGTTCCGGTTCGAATCTTGGCACATTGACCGCCATTGATAATACCAACACATTGACAAATGTTGTATTTGTTCCTGCATTGAACGGACTATATGCACCGTATTGGAAACACAATGCCAGCGGGTAGAGAAACATATGGAAAACATAGTTGCATTGCAATGTGAAAATTGACTAATTAAACTATTTTCGTTTAGATTATTCTTTGGTCTCAACAATCGAACGACTGCTTATCAAGTAATGCTTGCTGCATACGAAGCAATCTGTTTTCAAACGCGTGATCTAATCGAGGCAGTTGTAAAAGATGTGCCATCATGGAATCCCATCGAACGCTTAACGGTTGGAGGGGAGTTCAGTGAAAATGCATTCCTCTTGCAACTTTTGGCTGATTTGTGTGGCATTCGCATTGAACGGCCGCAAACCTCATTCTCAGCGTGTCTGGGAGCCATGATTGCGGCTGGATCGACTATGGAGATTTTGCATTTAGAAAAATCCACTTCAATGTTCACACCGCCCATTGAAATATTTCAACCAACGATGTGTGCTAGCAGTAAGTTGATTTAAACCATGACATTAGTCTTCTTGGAATGTCTTTCTGAATGAAGAATATTTATTTTAATTGAAATTTAATCTTTTCCAGCCAAAGATATGAAGTACCGAACGTGGAAATTTGCCATTTCAAAATGCATCGCCTGGCAGGGCACACAGTACGATAGTTCATTTAAAGATTTCGTCTATGAAGACAAAGGTATGCATGACAAAATGAAACAAAAATCCCCTTGAACCATTTTTACTAACGGTCAATTTATGCTCCACACTGTCTAGATCCCGATATTCAAGTGCGCTGCTCAATACCTGGAACCGTATTTCTCATATCTTCCGTTGCTTTAGTTCTAATAACCAAATTTCTTCAAAATAACACCTAAAACATGACACATATACATGGAGAAAGGGAAAAGACATTTGTTCTCACCCCAAAATGCTGTACATTTTATGTCATTTAGTTAGAAGTTTAGTGAGTTGTATAGATAGAATGATTCCAAGTAAACGATATCTAGTCAACTCATTAGTTGTTTCATTGTTGTTATCAGTCAGGCGATGAAGGCAATGTATTTAATAAAACATTGAAAATATGAACTACATAAATACGTATTTCTTTTATTTAAAATATTCGAAAAAATTTACAAATGGCCAAGCTCAAACGATTTCAAAAGCTTCAATTCTCCTGCGAGTTTTTCTACGTTTGTTAACGTTCAACCACACTCTGACTTAGTTTTTTTTAGTTCATTTGAGCTTCTATTTACGTGGAAAAAATCCAAAAATCTTTTAACTAAACAAATTCAACATCGCAGATTTGTTTTATTAAGATTTTTTTTAGTTTCTCGTAAGATTTCTTTTTGTAGAAATTAACTACATGGTCATCTTTTCCAATGCGCACCAATAATGACATTTGTTTCATTTGTTTTTCATACGCAACATTTTCGATTTGTGTCATAAGCTGTGTGGCAATGCCCTGCTGTCGATAAGCATGATCGACCATGATGTATTCAATGTAGAAAGATGTTCGATCTTCATTTTTTGGGCTGGCCATGACAAAACCTATTGCCTTTCCGTCAGAAGAAGCAACGATGGCAGAACTATTTGCTTTCGCATCTTCATACATCTATGGGTGAGATTGAGAGTAGTGTATGTTTCATTGACTTTGTTACGAAAGAGAAGAGCAAGTTTCTGTCGACTTAAAAATGGTTAAAAGCGAGTATGTTCGTTTTTAGCGGGTCCTCGCGGTTTTTCACGGTTTCCACGGAACTGATAAGAGATAACAACTTGGTGTCTTGGGCAAAGTTCTATAACATTGCTTAAGTCAGTTATCTCTTATCTCTTATCAGTTCCGCGAAAAGCGCAAAAAATGATAAGAAAAAAAAAGTTCTATATAAAATTTGCTTTTTTATGTGCGCGATTTGCGCGCAACTGATAAGAGATAAGAGATAACTGTCTTCAGCTTAGTTATAGAAGACTTCGAGTACTACAACTTTGTCGAAGACACCATGTTGTTATCTTTTATCAGTTGCGCGAAAACCATGAAGACCGCGGAGGCTAGACGGTACTACAACATACTCTACTTTAACGCCAACAGAATCATCAGAAAACATACTCGCCTTTTCAAAAATATAAACCGAAGAAAAAACATACTCCACTCTCAATCTCACCCATAGACATGTATGAAGAGAAGTTTGAACTTCCTAAGACGTTTCGGATTTCGTCCACCCCTTCGTATTTTTCGAATTTTGTTTTTGTTGTGTTTTTTGTTTTGTCATCTTTGCTCATGTTGATCCCACGAGTAATGCTCTTAAGTCTGCCAACAGGTACAGAGCTTTCCTGTTTGCCCCGAACAACAAAATACTGTAAGCGTCGGGCGCTGCCCACAGGGAGAACCCGGATAGATCAGGCGTTCGATCTACCACTCCCACCATCCATGAACCGATCATATGAACCGATCATACTATTTTATTCAAGTCGTTTCGTTTCATTTCATTTTATGTTGTATATTAGTTTTTTTTGTCTCCCTACTTGTAATTTGATTTTGTTTAGTTTGCATGCATTCCGTATTTATTATACAATCAAAAAATTTTCCGATTTTTTTAATTCATTCAATTCTAATTTTTTTTAGATATTTTCTCTTTCATTTCCAAGAGTCACGATGATGGACGCGCTTCATTTTTATTATTCATTAGTTTCATTATGGTATGTGTTGTTTTCGGGAAATATTTCCTGTTGGTTATTTTAACCGGTTTGGCGAAGTCTGTTGAAGATAAGAAATCGTTTATGAAAATTAAAATGTATGCATATTTGATTTGAATTGACCCATTTTCTACTGAGATAAAAAATAATTTGTGATATTGATGAAATTTTGTGACATTGCTATTTTGGAGCTAAACGCTAGTGGCAAATGGGCTAAAGTAAAAATGTGGATTGAAATAAAAAATAAAAAATTAAAATTAAAAAATGATGGTATTTCCGAAATAAATTGCGAGGTGCTTGCAAAGTTCGCAATGCGAACTGAAAAAACCAAAAACAAATCATATGAAAATAAATTATTGAAAATGAATAAAAAATCAAACCAAATGAAAATGAAAATAAAATTAACAAAAGAAACATATTGATATACCTGCTGGGCTTGGCTTCATCTTTTTTTGGACACAATCTTTCAATCAAAATATTTAAAAGAGTGTTGTTTTCTTCATACAATACACATAAACGATTTACAGCATCACCAAGTTTTGAGAATTCCAAACCAACTTTTGAGAATTCCAAACCAACTTTTGAGAATTCCAAACCAACATCTTGAACTGTCGTAATTAGAGCTTTAGATTTCAACTACGAAACGGGAAAAACAGTCATGATTGACATTTTAGTTTTGATAAATAAGAGCAATCTTACCTCTTCTTCAATCTTTAGCTGTTCTTCATCCATTTTTGGTACTCTTAAATTTTACTAAGAAAAAAAAAAACAATAAAATATTATTGGTCAGGATTTTTAAATGGTTTTAGAAATGGTGTATTTCGTTGAATATGAGAAATGGAAGGAGCCGATGAGAGAATCAAAATTTGTGTGTCTTTAATACTGAGTGAAATTTGAATAGATGAATTCATTTGATGGCGTTCAATTGAAATTCAGGAGCGAATTTTTCACACAAAATATTTTAGGCGGTTTCAGCAAAGCAACACAATTTACGCTTTCATATGATTGTAAAAAGACCAGTTGAACGGTAATGCGCATGAGCGGGCTGATTCTCTATGGGAATCTCTATGAACAGATGGTAAAACAATCACTATGTGTGACTGTGTGATTTTGTTTATGTGTTAGAATGGAATCGGTGCGAAGTTAATGACTGAACGACTATCTTTCGTTCCTTATATGATTGATTGGGACAACGGCAGTGGCTATAACGATACAAAATACAACAATTGTGCAGCGAATACAGTGATTCCAAGACGAAATTACGAACGAAAAACAGCAAAAAAAACGTCACAACAAAAACAAATGGCAACAACGAAAAATCAGAATCCACTCGAAAAGATGGTTGACGATCCGAAAAGAAAAAGAAAAAATATTGTCACAATATCTGGCCGATACATACATGCAATTAAGAGAGAATTTAAATGAGAGCACGACATCAGCGAACGGTAAATGGAACGACTAAAATCACATGGTGATGCACTGCCATGTGGTACCAATCTTTCGTTCGTTCTTTTGACTGCTTGGTACTTGAACTATCACCCTTGTTGTTGCTATAGCCTTCTAATACGCATGAGCATAGAAGCAAAGAAGGAGAAGAAGATGAAAAAACTGAAAAAATATCTCTTTTCCCTTCATCCCAATTATTTTCTGTTTTTCTTATTGCAGCATTTCTAGTTGGAAAATCAACATATTCTTTCTACATTTTTTTAAATTCTCCGTTTTTTCTCCAATTCCATTAAATTAGAACTGATTATTCAACGAAAAACTTCACGATTAATTCCGCAATTGATAGTGATTTTTTGGCCAATTACTTTTGTTTATCGCTTAAACTGCTTTGACACTGTTTTAACAACTATTTTTACTCTCGGTTTCGATTTTATTTTTTTTTTTTTTTGGTCTCAAAGATTCAACGACTACTCGGCGACACGATGCGGAAGGTACTTCTGCTACTGCTGCTACTGTTTGTTCGATGAACCCCATAGAAAGCAAATTGACCAATCATCATAAACATAAACAGAAGAGTGTTACACACCAATACACTTTCATTTGTCGCCTTTGCGTATGCGATACACGCAAATCTGTGTGTTTGTGTTGTGCACTCAAATGAATGTGCTTCTAAGCATTTAATCACATTACATTTGACACTAAATATATTGTGAACGCAATGTATACAATAAAATATTGGAAATGTCAACTAAATCGATATTTTCTTTTATTCAAAATATTCTACTAAATTTACAAATGACTAAGTTCGATTACAAGAGCTTCAATTTTCCTGTCAGCTCATTTACTTTGGATTTAGTATCTGGACCAATGCCCAAAACGGTAGGGGTTCGTGCTAGTACTTGAGTTCTTCCAGCATCGTGCACTAAACCATTTACTATATGCTTCTCTGTAGCGATTTTGGACAAATTTTCGATTTCTGCTTGTGATCCGACGCGCAATACCACTTTCGGTTGCCCCAAATTCAACCATGCTTTCAGATGTTCTGGCTTACTTTTTTCCGCTTTCGTATGACAAATAATGGCTGCATGTGCACATTGCGCCCCAATTTTTCCCGTTGACATTTTCAAATCGCTTCGCACAACCAGTGACATTTGCATCGGTTCGGATAGTTTAAGAGCCATTGATGTCCGTTGGAAAATTGACTTGAATAAATTGGCCATTATGAAATATTGCTAGTTTTGGTGCGTGTGTATTTATTTATCTAAGTATTTCTTTCGCTGCTCTTCCATATAACCGGACATACACTGGCGGAAGGTGTCGACAACGTTCTTACACTTTCTCCAATCTTGCGTTTCAGCGATACACTCCTGTAGAGAAAAAAATGTGATGAGTGAATTTATTTTAAAGTCGCTTGAATCATGGTAATCTCGATCAAAAATGTCAACTCACTTGGACTTTGTAATGCAGCTGAAATATAGAAATTAAAGCCATTAGTTATCAATAAGCATATCTTCTTCATAAATCATTAATCTCTCTTCATATCCAGGTTACCTTAATACAGCCGGTTTTTGTTAGCATCTGCTCCACTGGATCTACAGGCTCTTCAGTATTCACTTTCGGTTGAGCATCTGTCATTCTAAAATCTGTGGCGTCAATAAAACAATTGACCAAACAATTGACTGAAAAAATCTAAACCAACTCACCGATATCGCCACGGCAATTGAATTTGACTTTTTGAGGTTATGTGCACCTCTGGACTGGCAGCAACTGTCAAAACTCTGACCAAACTTAACAAATGCACATTCTCTCTATTTTCCACTCTCTTTCCCTCTCTCCGGTTCTTCTTCCATGTTTCTTTTTCTCTTTCACTCTCTTTCGCTTACACATTCACTCGTCGCGGTTTCACTCTTCGCTCACTTGGTTTTGATTGTATTCAGTGAAGCAGAGCATACGATTTCATACAGTTGGTAGTGTTGTGAGTTGAAATATTCTCTCGTTGGTCGCGTTGTTTTCTATCGTATGATTTTCGCTACGTTCAGAACACGATGAGACGTCAACAATGTCATACATACCATCATCAGCTTCGAAACTAGTTCAATTGACAAACGATTTGAAAAAAATCGAATAAACTCTCATAAACATTTTCGATCCAACTTGATTCAATCGAAGTAAAACATTAAAAATAACAACAATTGTTTTTTGATTCGTTGTGAAAAGAAATTAAGTTAATTGAATTGGATTTTGAAGTGCTGCATTCGACAGTGTTTCCGTGAAGAAGAAAAAAAACTTACGTTTATCGTGCGATTGTGTGTGACGATAATAAATGTCCATCTGCATTGTGTGAGAAGCATCACTTTTTTTTCAATTCGATCATGTTTCTCGGCTCACATCATATCGACCAAAATAGTTGTATGCAAGTGAAGGCATTCAGTGATTGAAAAAAAAGTATTACCAAAACGAAACCACATAAAATCAGTTTCGAATGCAAACATATTCTGGTTTCAAAATCATGATCTAAATAATCAGCAGAACGATTTTATTTTGCCAAGTAAACAAAACACGTTTTGAAATGTGCTAGTTGTTGTGGGGTTTGGTTTTCGTGTATTGAAAAAAAAAATGATTTCTAGGAATAAGCAATACAAAATTAATAATGGAATCTCGATTTTGACAAAATAAAACAAAACATCCGAAAATAATTTTAAAAAACAATAATTAAAATCCATTCGAAGCGAGGTCATTTTCGCATATTGATTCATTATTGAAGTGGATAATCAACGTTGTGATCTATGCCAAGAAAATCACGATCATGGACAATACAAACAGCTAACTGACCGGAAAACGGCTCTCGACGAGAGAAACGAAAAAAAAACAACATAAAATTGCATGGAATGTGATATTTGTATGTAACGGGAAGTGTCGAGTAGTATTGAAGACATAAACGCAACAAATAAGTCTAAAGTGGAAAAAGAATCTCGTCTTATTTCTGGTTGTCGTTATAAACGTTTTAAGTGAGAGAGAGAGAGAGAGAGAGAGAGATAGAGACTTTTGAACCAATCACACATCAAGGCTTCGATACTCAATGCGTAGTCGCGTCGAATGCCATCACAAGAATTTGAATAACGAGAAGAACGGTCTTTGAATAACGAAAAAAAAGACACAAACACAAGAAAGAACCGATCAAATTAATCGAATCGAGTGAAACGAGTCTACTAAAAGTGAAAACATATTGCAATCTTATGACGTTATGTTTACGGTACCAAAAGTGAGATTTTTAAAGCCTGGTAAGTCGTCATCGCCTACTGATGCTGCTGTTGTTGTTATAGCATCAAGGCGAGAAATATTTTGTTCTATTATATTTTCCAAATTTTCTTTCTTCACATTCGTTCTTTCGCTAAGCCGATTTATTTTATTGTTCTTCTGAAATTCGATTTCATATCTAGCCAAGGAAACGAACTTTCGTATAATGCCGACCGAATTTCAATGCTTTTCTAAGCAATCTAATCCATTGAATTGTGTATTCGAACACAAATCGGTGGGAGTTGGCAAGATATTTTTAGACAATGAGCAACACAGATTTGTCATATGGTAAATTTCTTTATATGGATGTTTTCACGTTTTAATTTTTATCTCCGTTTGATATTTAGAAAAAAACGGATGGTTGATTTTTTCGATCATTCCCATGGAAATTCAACGGATCATGTTTTCGGTGCGAATGAATTAATACAAATCTCGACTGTCATTTACAACTGCAAACCGTTTGTATTCACAGCGATTGATTTGATTAAACATATTGCGGCCACGAGCTATGCTTTAGATAAAACTATGCGGTGAAGCAATGCAGTGAATCTGTATAAGAGCGACGGAGCGTTATATACGAATGATGCGACACCAAAATGAATGCACAACATTCTAATAGCAATCAAATTATTAGCCTCTTAATATTAACCAACAGGCAATTACAGTCATTTCAACGATTACAGGCATATTTTCATTTCACAAGCCACGAGTCAAACTTTGATCTCAAGCATTTGAATTGGAAATCTGCATTTGTGATGCTACATCATTTTGTATGATAATAACAATTGACATCAGAGTCAATAGAATTGTGTCGTCATTGAAGCATACACGAGATGTAGACAGCATTTCTTTTGTTTTGTTTTGACTGTGTTTTATTTTGGGGGAAAAAACACTCTGTTTATGTTTTTTTCTTGTTTATGTCAATCAAATGTCTAGCCGGGAACGTAGAATTTCGACTTCAAAATGCTAATTTGGTTAGAAATGATGTTTTTTCAGACACAAATCGGTCATAATCCGTGATAAGTATGCCCGAAATTTTCTGATAAGTTATTGCTACATACGCCGTTTGGTTACATGTTTCAAATTGAGAGTAAAAAATATCGCTCGAATGTTAATAAAAACGAAGAATAGTCGCCTTAACAAAAGTGTAGGACAATACGAGTGTGGCACCATGTCGTTGATTCAGCAAAACTTACGAATTTTGTATTTATAGCTATTTCAAACTTGAGTTAGTGTTAATGAAATCCATAAATTGTGAACGTTTTTTTTTTTCGATGGTTGTGATAACGTCGACGCGGCTCATTCTCAATTCAATTTCCAACGAAGCATTTCCATTCGCTGGCGCAGGCGGGCGAGCGCGCGCGCAACTCAATCAAGTTGGTAATGAGCAGCACGGTTTCAGGTCAACAAGATTCAGTTGCATGCACTTAATGCCTCTTATAATTTCGATCAACTCTCTATGAGTTCATCAGAATATAACAAGCTACTTATAAATGCTTTAGAAATGAATCAATTAGCAGATTGAAGCAACACAAGTTAAATGTATATTGTATCTATATGTATAGCAAATATTCGGCTTTTGATGAAAGCAAAGAAAAACCGCTCAATCACCGAATTTTCAATAAAACATGATAATTTTTTTTATAGTTTTTTCTTCGTTTCTCGCACGATATCTTTCGCCGTGTGTCGTTCATATGGTTTAAAACTAAGGCGCCAAGTTTGAGACAATTTTACATTCAACATTGACCCAAATATTCAAATCCAAGCGAATGAATTCACTGAATATATGCCCATTCTTGACAGCAACGCCGTTGAGATGAATGATTTCACTGTATTTCTTCCATCATTCGCATATAATAATGTAACGTGTTTTATTTCAAAAGAAATGAAACAAAACGCAGAATTCTCTAGACCGTTAAAAAAAAACCTCAAAAAATATTTTCAATGGATTTCGTCGGGAATAATAAGTTTATTTTCTGTGTTGCACTGTGTATAGAGAAAGAGTCATTAAGTGAAATTTCAAGGTCGATTCGACATTGGAAAAAAAAGCGCGCCACACAGCAGTGTCAAACAAAACAAAACAGAACAAAACAAAAGCACAACGAACAAAAAATATTGGAGAAATGAGCAGTTTTTATTTATAAACACTGTGGCTTTACTATGGGTTTCAATTCTAATTAAGTTTTCAATGGTTATGTTTTTAAATGACATTCCACCACAATGTGAGCAGATCACGCTTCAGTCGAAAGTTACCACAGAATTATTGTGTCTATCACGTTGCATCGCTGTACTGAACCAAAAAGTGGTTAGACTCAATTGAAGTTGCACAATGCACGCACACATACACACCAATCGCATTAAATATGAACACAGAGGAGTAGGAGCCATCGACAAACAAAAAAATAAACCTTAACTTTGATCGATGATCGATACGAAGAATTGAGCTCGGCATACTTGGAAGCATCAAATTATGGCTGATTAAACTTTTTTGGGGTGGAAAAAGACAAAAATGAAACCAAACGACCTTTAAACTCTCGCTCCATTCGAGTTCATTTCAATCCATCAGTTGGATAAAGTGAAAAACTTGTACCGAAACACTGTGTAGTGTACGTGTGAATAATTACAGTTCCTAATTACAATCGACATGTAATAACGACGTTTTCTTTGATTTGCATGTGACTGAAATGTGTGAACCATTGTTTTCCACTTCCTCAGCCAATATTCTCCGCGTAGAGATACCGAACAAGGAATCGAATTCAACTGAAAGCGATATGTTGTTCTCGGAAACACAATAATTCAATTGATGTTTGCCGTTGGGTAGCTGGTCGCACGACATGTAAGAGGAATAGCATGCAAGCTAAAAAGCAAAACTAATAGAAACGAATGCACAAGTCATCAACCTTCGGAAATTCATAGCGTGTGCTACAGTCTTTAAATTGGTCT